TATGGGTTGTACCTTTTGTTTGCTAGCATCCTAATAGCAACAGATTCTTTCCTTCGTAGTGAGTGAATAGCAGGTAGCCGGAAAAGCCTGAGTTTCCAGTGGTGGTGAATCCATTCAAGAGCTCAGTATCACCGAATTTACCTTTGCCTGAGTGTGGCTGCTCTCTGGCAGGTGACTTAGTGTTGTGTACCCAGAATGTCAGCAATTACTGTAAGAATCGCTGCCATCTGCCCTCATTCTGCATCTTGGGAAGGTTTAATTCTGCTTTCTAACCTGAAGCCCAGGGAATGTATTCTTTAAGGCCGTTTTGGGAAGCCCCTTTTCTTCAGTGAACCGAGATTTTTTTAAATGGAAGGTGTGGTATTGGTCTGTTTTTCACACCACTTTGAGATCACGCCTTTGGCTCAATGCTTGTGTTTGTGTCCATCCAACGGGAGGACGTCAGTTGGTTTCAGAGCCTCGGCAGCAATCTGGAAACGAAGGCCGTGTATCCTACTGGTTAGTGTCACGGCCGTTTCTTCACACTACTCCCCTGCCCCATCACCCCCCCAGATGAAAGAAATCTGGTTCTGCAGAAAGCGGCCGTGAATCTCACACAGCAACTTTCGTTTTCAGATGGGGGGGATGAGGCAGCTGCTCAAACACAGACATCCGACTGCGGCTAGCTCCTCAGGCCGGCAGGCTGGCGTGCTGCAGCAGCGGCTGAAGCTAGCTCATCGCACGTCGGATATGGGAGACCGGTAACGGGAGTGACTAACCAGCTGAACAGCAGCCGCAGTGGATCCTCTGCTGCTGAGGTTTCCAAATCTGAAGCAGATTATCTTTCTGGGAGGACTGCTGTAGTGCCGCTTTAAGTCTTTGAAAGATTCCTGTGATACTGTGGCTTGTAATACGTGATCCTCCTGACTGGCCACACACCCCAGTAATTTTTAGTCTTTGATTATGAAAGTCCTGCGATGCTCTGCTAACAAGAACTGTCCCTAATCATAGACGGTATCATCCTGCTGCATATTGCAGGCTCAACTTTAAAATAAGCGTGGTTCTGACTCGCACTGAACAACCTTGGGCAGAAATTCTGCAAAACTGATGCTGCTTATTAAGGCACGATAAACAGATAAAAGAAAACTGCCCTAGTGTAACAAATCTCCTTCCTCAAACCTGCAGCACCGTGCACAGATCCCGCTAGCCCTGTGAATTTTGAGCCCAAGGATAACACCAGACTTCTGTTGCTGATTGTAGCAGGTCACACATCTGCACTGGCCAGCTTGGAGACTGGAAAAAATATATCACATAGAGATGCTGAAGCAAGTGCATCCCCCTAAACATTTAACCATGGTTTGAGATGTCCCTTTGTGAGTAAATCCCTGAAGAGCAAGGAACCAATTGCACTGTTAAAAATCTTGCATTATAAAACAGAAGGAGTGAGGGAACTGTACCTGCAGAGGTTAATCTTCAGCACAGGAATTTAAATGAACTCATTAAAATCAACTTACAAATTAGCTCATTAAAATCCAATGCTGCAGATCCAGAAGATGGTTGATCTGGCATGCCACTTCTATGAAGAAGTGACTTAAATAGAGAACAAATTGATAGTATTAAAACTCCCTTTTCCTTTCCACTCCCCTAACCCCTCAGCTGGAGCTCTTCCTTGAACTCGGTATCAACAGCGCTTTGTGTTTAGTGAATTAAGCCTGCCTGACCCTGTGCTACAAGTGCTGTGTAGTATCACTAGCCTCCTGTAACGAAACGTTCCGCTGTACACGCTCATGCCCTCCCACGAGCGTAGGAACTCTGCAGGAGAGGCTCCGGCGCACTGGGTCACAGCAATGATCATTTTCACTTACTATCATGATAACAAGGCTGCTGGCTGTGGTGGGTTTTATTTCCTAGTGGTTAAATTCTAGATAATCACACTGCTCTACGACTGCCATTATAGTAATGGTATAGTTTAGGGGGAGGAGGGGAAAAAAACCTCAGTGAGTTCTGATATAATTATATAGACCTGTTCAGAATATATTTTATGTAACTACAGAAGCCAGTGATTAAAACTGGCCTTACCCTTACAGCTTTTCAGTCAGTTCTTACATATCCCAGAGGCACATAGTAGGCAATACAGGAAATAAAAATGTAAAGAATCTACATTCCAGCTAAATATTCTGCAATAATATTATCTGTGTGTACATATATACATAGAAATTTGAAGTACAAAACCAGTTAATTGGTAAATTTTAAGCTAACCTCACTAAACCCCCTATCCACATCAAAACCTGCATCAGGAAATGGTCATTGAGAAATCCCTCAAACTGTTTTTCAGCGTTTCAGAGTTGGAACTGTTGTGTCAAAGGTGCTGAGGACCAGAGGCCTACGGAGAGCACCATCTGAAACGCTGTTCTGCGGTTACAGGACTTGGTTTCCGTCTTTACCAGGGATGGTGACGGGCTGGACAGTCTGTTGGCACAGGCATTACCTGGAGACGCTCGACCAGCCTTTTTTTAGATGCTGTGGAGCTGCGGTAGGTGCAGGGATTTTGAGCTGGTTCGTGTGTCCATCTGGGCTTGTGGCCATCTGAAAAGCACCGTGCTGACCCAACTAACGGAGCCAGTTCCTTGGGTAGGCCCGGGTGCCCGACTCTGCTGCTGCTCATGCAAACCATCCCTTTGCCGTCGATGGGAAAGGGTATGTGGGTGTGAAAGTTGTAATCAAAGCAAAGGTGCAAACCTTACTTCTGCTGGGCAGAAAAGTGAGTCTTCATCCCACAGTGACTCACCGTAAAAACACACCTTTCTCCTTGACACAAACCCTGCAAGTTTGTGTAATGTTCTTTCCTTGCCTCTTAATCCTTTTATTATTTTTTTTTCCACCAGGCAGTGGTCTTGCCTGACCTAAAGATGTAAAAAGAAGCTTAGGTAGGAAAAAGAGGCATTGGAATACATAATTGTAACAAGACAGTGTGTAAACCGGTGCTTTTATGTTGACTTTGGTGATGAAATGGAAAACTAAAAGAACAAGCTTGCTGAATCCAGTTTTCCTTGAAGAATGAGTGGGTGGGATTATACGCTGGTGAAACGGTCTCAAATCCCTGTGGAAACCTAACCGACCATTCAACCACAAATAAATAGTGCTGGGTAATCAATCTGCTCGGTGAGTGGTTGGATCACGTGCCGAACGGGGTGGAGGTTGTGGAGGTGGATGGGGAAACCTGAATAACCACAGCTTTCGGAAGGGGACAGTGGGAATGAGTGGTACCTTCCCCGTGTTGCTAAAAAACACCCGAAGCAAACAAAAAATCAGCTGATTACGAAATCTGGGCATTTCCCTCATGCCGATTTCTTTCTATTCAGTGGAAAGAAATGGTGTTTGGAGACATTACTGTGAGCCTTAGGCATCGTGAGCAATATTTAGAGAATATTACTCACTGAAGTTATTTGAGGCTAATTCTTAAGACCCTCTGTCCGTGTAGAAATCATCCAGGTTACAGAAGCAATGTTGGTTTGTACAAAGGTTTATGTGCCCCAAAGTTGATAATTTTTCCCCCCACTTATATGAACTGCTCTAGTAACAAGTACTTTCTTGTCCCACGAGCCATCCCTCATTTGATGCTGACAGCTGTTGTTTTTCAAAGCAATACTGAACACCAAGCGGTGTCTTACGGAACTGTAGGAAAATGAGGCTATTCTAGCTGTGTCCTTGTGTCTGACCTTACTGAGGTAGTCTTCTTGTGTCATCCCGACTGCTTGCTTTTAAATGAGCTTTTGTGAATGGCTGTCCGTTCTCTGGTTGGTGATTTGGATGTGCAAAACCTAAAGAATTATTCTGATAAAGAGCAAGAGCCTGAAGGCATAGAAAGTGACAGATGGAAAATGAAATTAGGACAGAAATCTTCCTTGCCCTGTACCTTGTCCGAAGTGGATGTGAAGTCAGAAGAGCTTTGTGATCTAGCAAGTGACTTTTTAAGGTACAAAGCAATGAAGGACTGTGCCCAAACTGTACAGCTGCCCTGTTTTAATGTTGTGGTCCAGACTTGCTCATCCCTTTGCAAGACCATTCAAAGATCTTATTCTTTCTACTAAAACCAATTGGTTTAGAGCTGCTGTTTTGTCTCTGTAAATGGGCATGATCAGGTGACAATTTTTAAAAGCTTCCCCTATTATTTGATATAAGGCCTTGGTTTTCTCCATGTGATTTTGTGAAGCAGCAAATCTTTCCAATAATTATCTTTGCTCTACTTCCATCAAATACTGCTTGAAAGTTTGGCTTAGTAAAACAGAGGACATGCAGCAGCAGCAGCAGCGGTCATCTCTGAGCCAGCAGTGCAGACCAGATGTGATGTTAGGGACACCTCGCTCTCTCTTCAAATGCTTTCATACTGCTGGAAAAAGTGCTTTATTTCCGTAGCTTGTAAACAGGCACCAGGCACAGCTTACAGGACCAGAAGTGCCGTCTATGTTTGAGAGAACAGGGATACTTGGATTTGCTGCCAGGTTTGGATGCTTTTAGTAAAATCTGCAGATGCTACATAACATGGATATTGCTGTTCTTACTTGTCCGTAGAGTTCACTGAGACCAAAAACAGAGACAATTCATCCTTCTAAACCTCACTGCCTTGATTGATCCAGACACTCGAGGCAAGATATCTCTGCTGTCACAAACCCCAGAAAATCTGTGCTACTTCCTATTATAATAAAAAAAGAAGGGCATTGAAATTTATGAGAGCAGCTGGGAAAGCAACAGAGAAGTACTGGTCGGGGGAGCTGCTGGCCAGCACAAGTGACTGATCTGACTAACAGAGCCCATCAGTTTCCCATGTACATCAGTGCTGCTAGCTTGGCGTTCGCAGTCATTTTTAAGGCAATAATTGTCCTAGCAAATCAGCAATGTAATTTAACTACTACTGTCTAAACTAGTTTCATGGTCATCCATTTTCTAAAGTCACCAAATTTTATTATTTACCCACAATACAATTATACCAAAACAAACATATATTTAAGAAAAAAGAAACACCTTTATAGAAATGTTGATAGTGCTTTGAAATCCTCTGTCACAGCCGGGGCTCCGTTAGACATTGCTAGAGGTCTCCCCACTTGCATATTCCCCTGTTGCGCTGGGCAGAACAAACTTCACGTATCTCCCCTTCTCCCAGCCCCTCCTGATTCGCAGAAGTCTTTGCTGGATGCAGGGCAAACTGAAGATGATTTTTGCTAGGATCACAGTGCATGGGACGAGCAACGTGAGGGTGTAGGTGGGAGGGAGGTAGAATTTGTACTGGTTCTCATCGAAGGCCCTCGACCATCCGTACGTGAGTGTGTGCAGAGTGCTGATTACCAAGGCGACGAATCCAAGGGCAGACTAAAAGGAAGAGAAACACAACGCCAGTTAGCAGAGGACCTCTTGCCTGTCTATTTTCCTACATTTTTTACTCTATTCTGTAAGTGTACGTAGCACAGAGAAAGCCGTGAGTACTCCTGCGTTTGTTGGACAGAATAAAACACGACTGGAAGCCTTTCCTGGGTAGCGTGCCAGACTGCATTTTTCTAATCAGAGGTTAAGTGTGATATTAGAAACTCAGCAGGAGTTTCCCAGAAGATGCTGCCAGCTTGGCTGAGAGGTGGGCTCCTGCTCCGTGCGAA